GGCACATTTGTCTGTAGGTTTACGAAAGCAAATGCGAGCCTCATACATATGTACATACATTCATAATAACAAGTGCCGCATGCATCTTTCAAATCTCCGTTGTCACGGTCAACCAATGGCCGAAGCGCTCGTATTGTCAAAGAGTCATCACAACGTTGTGTTGTTGGTAGAAATTCCGAGCTGTGCCGAAAGAAACTAACAAACGATCGCCAATTGCTACCGCTTCCCTTGCCGCAGTAACAGCTTCGCCTACAAACTAGCGTAAATATGTATACATATGTATGAGCTTGCATATATATCAACGCTGATTTTTGCGAGCCACGAAAAAATATTTTAGAATTGACAAATATTGTAAATCGACAACAGCTATGTTGCTCACTTCTTTCTTAGAACAAGCACCAGAAAAATGCTCAATTTATGATTTTTAGCTTTTGACATCGTCCCGAAAAGACGCTTGTAGGCAAAGGCATAATTGGGGAGATGTTACGGCGTTTGTTTTTATGAATGAAGCGAGGTCGCTTGTGGAATTCGTGCCTGGCGTTATTTATTTATTTTTTTTTTATTGGAGGGGGAATCTTCGAAAAATACCGTAATTTTTCCGAACGGTATGCACGATTCGTATTGGTCACTGAAACGGAGACCAATACGCCTACGTACTAAACCCTTAACTCCATAGTCTTTGCTTGTTTATTTTCCCCACGGAACTGCCGTTAAGCATTACATCGTTAGGCCAAGCTTCCGGCCTACTCCTCATTCATCCCTCTTGTGATTTCCCTGCGTTGCCACTCATTCCTTCTTAGCTCTATATAGCACACCACGCTCTCACACTATCCCACACTTGTTTCGAATGTATCATAAATCGCGCTATGTTATCCGGTGTCACTCGTTCCGTTGCCAGTTTCTGTACATCTCTCTCCTTTTCATAGAGATACTCTCTAAACCACCCGTGTCCCGTCAAAAACTGCGTCAGGTAGAAATCTGTTTCTCCGTGTTTCCTTTCTACCCATGCTTGTACATTTCTAATTCGCGTATAGGTCCATCTCTCCGTCGTAGACGCATCCCATTGAGGCTTGTTTGCCTCTCATCCTTCCGTTCTTCAGCCGTTAGTCGCCTGCCCAGTCTTGTAGATCTGTCGTATACTCTTTTGAGTTCCATGGCCATTACCTCTGGTGGCATAATGCTCGCTAATATCCCAACCGCTTCGTGTGATGCCGTGCGAAATGACCCTAATGGCACTAAGCCGCATTGCAAACTTCGCTTTCTTAGCATACGCCTTTTGCTGTAATGCTGGTCCACATATGGGCGCCGCGTACATCATAATTGTTTGGCTCACCTTGGCCAATAGCGCACGCCTATTTTGGCTTGGTCCACCATTGTTTGCCATTATTCTTGGTAGTGCGGACGTGGCACGTGCTGCTTTCTCACATGCCTTTTCAATGTGCGCCTTGTAGCTGAGTCTATTGTCTATCAGTTTTCCTAGATACTTCAGAGTCTTCTGTGTCATGATACTATGACCGTCGATGTTTAGTTTGATGTCTTCGAGTTTTTTCTTACTTGTGATCAGCACAGCTTCGGTTTTTTGTCCAGCGAGTTGGAGGTTTGTTGCCGTGAGCCATTCTTTAATCGTCGTCGCCGCATGGTTGCAGAGGTTTTCAAGTTGGCCAAGTTCTTTTTTTTTCACTACGGTAATGGCAATATCATCCGCGTACCCGATGATCTGCACCTGTTTCGGGAGTGGAAGACGCAACACCATGTCACTTCTTTTGTTCGTCATCTGTATCGTACAGTAACAGCCGGTCCGACAGGTAACTGGATATAATCTTAACCAGGTATGCCGGGGTTTCGCAACGTTCTAGTGCACTGATGATATGGGGCCAGTATGCCGAATTAAAAGCATTTTTGACGTCAAAGGTGACTACTGCGCAGTATTCCATATAGCCACTTGTACCCTCTATTGCCTTGTTGGCAATGTCCGTAAGCTTCTTGATCGCATCAGTGGTTGATCTCTGCTTGCGGAATCCATACTGGATGTCGGACAGACCTTTCTTATCTTGTATTTTTAAATGCAGCTCTAATCGTGCACAGATTATCCTCTCCAAAATCTTGCCAGTCGTATCCAGCATGCAGAGTGGTCGATATGAGCTCGGCTCTCCGGTTGGTTTATTTGGCTTCTGCAACAAAACCAGCCTCTGCTTTTTCCAAGTTTTTGGGAATAAACTTTTTTGTAAACACCGCGTGAACAATTCCGTGAAAGGTCTTGCATTGTGCATAATGGCAATCTTTAGGGCCTTATTTGGAATGCCATCCACGCCTGATGCTTTGGTATTGCCAAATCTCTCTGCCGTTTCTAAAACCTCAGCATCGGTGACTATCGTGTTTTCTGTTTCAGCAAGTTCCTGTGTTCTAGCCGTTCGGTTCTCTAGGAGCTGTGTCTCCACAGTTTTCAGCAGCGCTGGACACGTTGGTGCTTGTCCTTTGCCCCCTCTTATTTTTGCCCTTACCAGCTTATAGGCACAGAGTTCTTTAAAGCAGCAGGATTTACTTTTTTTTAATTGCTTTTTTAAGATCACTTCGTTAGGTTTTAAAGTATGCGCGTATTTGCTTTTGTTCCGTGAGTTCCCGACTCTTTTGGCACCTCCTTCTCGCTTTGTGGCATTCCTTCCTTAATATGTCGATCTCCTCACTCCACCAGTAAACAGGCTTTCTATGCGCGCCATTTTTTTCCTACTCATAGAAGCGTCGCATGCTTTACTAATGTGCCTCATTAAGATCTCCGCTTGCCGATCTATGTTTTCCTGAAATGTTATATTAGATGGTAACAGCAGCTTAAAGAGTTCAACGTCAAGGGTTTCTATTTTCCACCCTTTCCTTTGTACCGTCTTAGCGGGCATACACCTTCGGTTGTTCGCTGAGTGTTGGATTTCATACATAATTGCATAATGGTCATATGCGTGTAAAGGTCACACATCTGCCAATTTGTTGTCCGCGCCAGAGACCTGCTAGCGAAGGTTATATCAATAACGGAGCTCCGGCCGTTCTTCTCGAAGGTGTTCTGATTGCCGGTGTTCAGTAACACCATGTCTAGGGACGAGAGTGCCTTTAGTGGGACATCTCCACGCTTATTTGTACAGATGCTACCCCACTCCATCCTTGATAAGATTTCTCTGACCAGCTCGTCCAGAATTTTATCAAAATCACTTTGCGATATGCTAGGTGGTATGTAACAACTATAGAAATTGATCCCCAACGGCAAAATGCAAAAGCATACATATTTGCACACATTGCGAAAGCAAAAATTGAAGCATGMAAATATCACAATGCTGTTGTTGGGAGTATCATAAGGAGCGTGCGTACATATATTTATGTCTCTTCCTGTTCTTGGGTATGTGAGACAGAGAACATAAAAAAATTTTTTATGTTTCTGTGTGTGAGGTGTGTTTTGTACACATTGTTCGCTGTCAAAAATGAAACCAAATGTAAACAAGCAAAACAAAATTCTTCGTTGGGAGTTTAATCATGGGCATGCATACATATATTTATGTCTCTTCATATTCTCTGCTTGGGCATATATGCCACGTCATCATATGCCGTAAATACATATACATATTTATTTCTCTTCATTTTCTCTGTTTGAATATTTGAACAATGTTCACATTGTGAGGCGGATTCCTTACTACAATTTTAACAAAAGCGGCGAATTCCTTACTTTAAATCTAACAAATATTCGCTGTCGAACCTGCACCTTCTCTATGTTTTATGTTCTCTGGTTGACGGTCACAACTTCGAAGTTGTAGATAACAATTACAATAATAAACAGCCTCGAAATCCAACGCAGAATAACTCTTGTCAACAGATGGTACGTTGGACTTAGTAGGCAATTGAGAAGAAGAGTCCTCTCTCGACGAACAAAAACCAAACTCTATAAGTCACTCATTATTTCCGTTGGTTGATGTAGCGGCCGAATTATGCCGAGTTGATAGTCCTTTCAGGTTACGTAGACCTTATTGCCGTGGGAACGGATTCATTATTTCCGCCCTGTTATATGATGCAGAGGCATGGACAATGACAAGATCTGATGAGTCGGCCATAGGGGTTTTCGAGAGAAAGGTTTATGGTATTTTGCGTGTTGGCCACGGCGAATATCGCATTCAAGGGAACGATGAGCTGTATGAGATATACGACGATAYTGACATAGTTCAGCGAATCAAGAGACAGCGGTTGTGCTGGCTAGGTCTTGTCGTACGTATGGACGAAAACTCTCCAGCTCCGAAAGTATTCGACGCAATACCCGCCGGGGGAAGCAGGGGAGAAGGACCTGGCTTCGCTTGGCATTTCCAATTGCCGCCAGGTTGCGAAACGGAGAAACGACTGGCGCGCTGTTGTTAACTCGACTACAATCGCGTAAGCGGTGTCTACGCCAGTAAAGAAGAAGAATATACAGTCGGTAAAACAACAGGCAGTATGAAGATTACAGTCAGAGAAGTAAATTGGAAATAATAATTTACACACAGTCTTTAGTGTACAAACCAGTGCTGCCGGATCGACGAATTTTGCCGGATTTTTCGAGGCTACGTACATGTAAATATAAACCCATACTTTTATGCAAATTGATATTCTATATTGTACAAAAATAGTGTCCTGGTGTCTATTTAAATATAAAGAAATGATGTGAAGTCGGATTTTTCCATTTTTTTTTTTTTTCAATATAATGATCCCAAAATGTTAAAGATTTATAGGTATGGTTGTTCTGATATTTGGCAGTTAAATCCCTTTAGTCTATTGGCCTTTCAACGTATATTTCAATGCAGAAAACAATTTGTGTAAGTTCTAATATATTTATTTCCTAATAGGATGTAATTTTAGTAATAACTTTTGGTAAACAGAGTAAATTCTCAACTCCGGAGATATTATTTTTATTTACGTTACAATGTAACGGTATGCAATTTGATGGCGATTTGTTCCACGAAATATGAACCAACTGTAGTTAAAAACACAAACACTGTCATATATGCAATTTCTTGGGCAATGATTCAAGTTTATTTAATATTTGTAAAAAGCAAAAAAGAATATTTAAGAAAATAATTTGAAATGTGTGTCTAGTTAACGTGATAAGAGGTACCAGTATGACTTTTGACATAAATAATACTTCACTGCTTTCAAAGTTGTTCGAATTTCCGAGAAGTAATGTATGTGATGGTCGCAACGTATTTCATTACAATAAAACTTTTTACTGCTACCATTTAAATTAATATTAATACCTTGAGATGCACTTAGTTATTAAACTTTTAATAAAAATTCATACACGTATACTTTTACAATCCGTTACTTGTACAATTTATCATATATCATGTTCTTAAAAAAAATGTACGTGTATATTTTAATGTTTAGGAAGTAGTGTCAGTCTAGTTAGAATATATATTTGCTTCAGTCTAGTATGATCGGCATCTGCGGTGATTCGCTGGTACAACTGACTGAAGTAATTATCTGGAAAATATAACAATTCGAACTATGAGTCAACAGTAGCGATAGCCAAGATGTAGCAAATTTATAGCGAATTGATGGTAGAGCTGGTTAATTGGAGTTGAAATATTGTACAGGAGTTATTCGTCTGCAATTTGACAGATGTTCATCTTGCAATAGCTAGAAAAAAATTAATTTTTTTGTACTATTCAAAATAAAATAGACATTGAATTCATGTTTCTTATTATCCTAGACAGTTTAGAACAAAAAACTAAATTTCTTTGAGAGCTTTCGTTTGTGAACTATTGTTGTATTTCACGGACTCACCTTTTCTAAACATACTGGAACACTCACTAAAATTCTCTAAATTCATACTGTCCCTTAATGTGTAGTGTGACATATTTAATAAGTTATTTCTTTTAAATAGTAATTTATTTTCAGGAAAATAATTTTCATGCAGATGTCAGCAAGCAGAGGTTTCCTCTCCACTTAACGTAAACGCCACATTTTCCAACTTATGTGATAAATTATTTTTTTTGCAATTCAGATCCGTGTCTAGAGCATGAACGATCTGTAGAAATGATAAGAAATTAATAAAACTAATTAATAAAAAATTTGTGTTTGAATATATAAATATAATATGAATCCCTGAAACTTAACACCCAAATTTAATTGCGACTTATGTTACTGGGCGAATCATTACTTTCCACGAGAGCTTCTTTCCCTTCGAGACAATTGTGTAACCCCTAATTGATGAGCAGAAACAGGACTACATAGTTCAGTAGCATACAGAAGACTATTAAGAATTGTCTTTAGCAATAAGCCACTTAGAAAATAAAATGATGGATTTAGAATCCGGATAATCCAAAAGAGATTCTTCGGGCGTTTTTGTGTTAAGAAAAAATTCGGAACTTATGCTCGAATGGTAACCGATTGGAGGCTTTGTTAGTTGATGATGTATAACATTTAATAGTATAAACTAATACAGTCAACATAAAAAAATCAATATGAAAGCAGATATAGCTAGGATAGGTTAAGACTTTCTTCAGTTTTGCAAGACAACCGAAGTGCAATTAAGTTTTACATATGTATGTAAATAGACGAATATATCAGAAATAACGACGGGACCACCTTCAGTTTGTATAGGAGAAATGTCGTATTTAGTATTATCATGGAAATTTTTCCATATTTTCTTAACGTTTAAACCTTCCTTGCACTTCCACGAATATTTTAATTAGTCTTTAAAGCTCTTATCTTTTTCAGTTGCCGTAAATGTGGCAAGACTAATATTTGTCAGAAATGTTAGGTCACACATTTTTTGAAATAAACAAATGTTAAAGTCAGAAATATTTCAATGTGTACAGAGTAACTAAAAATATATTAATTGAAAAAATTGTGCAATTTGAGTTAAACATATTGACAGAGCATGTATTACTTTTACAAATTTTCGAACTTTACGTACATACAAATATCTCGCAAACTTAAAGTCTGAAGGGGCCCATATGTACAAATATTTTTTAATCCTGAGGTGTTTCTCTATCCATCCGTACCATCAAATCACGGCGCCAAAGAATCGTAATATTGCCATAACATTTATGTAGAACCTAGGATTTATCTCGATTCCTCACAGGGAATCCAAAATAGTATAAATCGCACTTTTCAATTAATCAGTGGTGTGGATTCTGATAGTTGTCGGAATTAGAATTGAAACCGACAAAAAAAAAGTAGAAGGTGAAATGGCTGCAGGTCCTCCACACAAAGATGTCACCGAGCGGAAAAAGGTAAATAAATAACTTGCTTTATAAGTTTGTAGCTGACCCCACAAGCTTTGACCAAATTAGGTGTTTAAAATGAAAAGAAAGTTGAATTTACGTTGTGTTAAAAATCATTTATTTTCGATTTTTCTACATTTTTTTTTCAACTAAACGCGGCTAACATACCAAGCCTTTCCAAAGATTTTAGAAATTCCACTGGATAATTCACGACTTTGAATTTTTTCTAGCTAATATTGCGCGCGCACGTGAACTTCAGTGGCTTGCGAAGCAGCTATCGAATCGTCCATCGTTTGATTCCACTGATTATCATGCTCCAGCAATTGTACTTGCGGGCATGCTTCTCAAAAAGTTTCAACCACCGTACCATTCACAGTACGCAATGACTCAAATATTGTTGAGGCACTTAGAATTATTAATAGCAACCGAAAGGAGAAGCAATCGTCGTTTTTCGGATGGATTGTGTAAATGCGTCCTAAGGCAATAGTTGAAAACACACCTGGTAACTATTTCTTCGGCGATGCATACCATTTATAATATCGAGGCATTTCCGAGCAGCGCTGTTCTTGCAAACGGGTCACTGAGGTAAGATGAGAAAACACTCGCCAAGGTCAATTTTGATGTTGGCGGTGTTTCCACTGGCTGTAATGTATTCCCTCAGTTCAAGTATACTCTCTTTCCATTCTCCAAATGAGACGCACAACAATCGGAAAACATTCATGAATTACAAAAGTAAATATCCTTGAAAGCGCTGTATTGCAGTTCACGCATCGACCCATGTGATACTTGCCGATCTCATCTAATTCAAGGCCAATAACCGCCATGTTCCTTTCTTTGGTGACTATTTGATCGATTTCACCAAACTGCAATAATCAACATTGATATGAGTTTTGAATGTGAATTAGACAACAGTGGCGAATATGGTAGGATCCATGTGTTGTCGACTTCGAAATTCACTCCTCTAAGTTGAATGCTAAATGTTCTGCTATCGTCGTCTGGTGAGCTACGCCGATACCCATAATTTTCATATGTCGTTTCCGAAAAAAAGCACGTGGATAGTGTTTCGTGCATTTGTTGTCAGACATACAAACCGAAGTGGGAATGTGGTGTCCGCAAGATCCATCAACCATATTGGTTTTCATCACTTCGTATAATACTAGATCTTTCTCTGCATCAGGAATTTCCGCAAAAATTATTTCATCAATTGTATCTGGTGTAACCACCGCCCACGATCCAAAGAAGAATGTGTGCGTGAGGCAAACCTCCCTTTTGCAACTCAACAGAGTACATCTAGCATCTAACATCACCAAATGTGCGMTGCTTCAAGGTAAAGTCCATCAAACACCGTACACCTCTACACCTTCTACACCTTACCCGATCCACAACGAACTTCTGAAAACTTCATCAAGATTGGTGCAGCCGTTCTCGAGGTTTAGCATTACTATCAAACAAGCATTCAAGAAAAGGGCTGTGTTTAGGGGTTATGCGCTAATTTTGCGATTCATTTTTATATTATAGACAAGGCTGAACTCGTGGCTCCGCTCGCTCACTGTTGTCAGGGATATCATTTATCGTGATAACAATAAAATAGAAGAGTTAATTTGGCAATCTACATATTTTATTAAGACCGTAAATCACTTAAGGAATAGTACAGGGTGGCTGATGAAAGCCGCTACCAAAAAAAATTAAATAACTTTTTTTTCTATTTAATGAATCTGGTTTTTATTTTATTCTGCAGATTGACTTTTAAATTTAACAAAAATGGATAACTGGGACACTGAAACAAGAATTTGGATTGTCCGCCGCTAGCACGCACTGGAGTCCGTAGTTTCGGTTCAAAGAGAGTATAGGCGCACGTTTGGCGGCAATCCTCCGAGCAGATGGACCATAATGAGACTTGTAAACAATTTTGCCGAGCATGGRACAGTCAACAGAAGACCTTACCATCGAAACACTTCAGTTCGAACGGAGGAAACAATCGCTGCTGCCATACAAAACAATCCACGTATTTCGACAAGAAGCTTATCTGCTGAAATGGGTGTAAGCAGACATTCATTACAGTCAATTGTGCACGAAGATTTGGCCTAATCCCATATAAAATTCAAATGGTCAACAAACTGAACGCTGCAGACTTGCCGATTCGCTTGGAATTTTGCCAGAAGATGCTTCAAATGGTGGAAGATGATGGAAACATGTTGAACTGTCTTTTCATGTCTGACGAGTCCCATTTCGATTTAAACGACAACATAAACAAACAAAATTGTCGAATATGGAGAGCTTCCAACACACAGATACTCCATGCGACGGAATTGCATCCACTTCGTGTCACAGTGTGGTGTGCAGTTTCATCACGCTGCATTGTCAGGCCCTACTTCTTCGAATAAAACGGTCACACCGTTACGGTTACTGGAGACCGTTACTTGAGCATGTTGAAAGAGTTTTTTTATCCAGAATTACGCCGAATGAGAATTTCTTTCAACTCTGTGTGGTTTCAGCAAGATGGTGCAGCTCCTCACCTGTTATGACAGAATTGCGACGAAAATTTCCCAATAAGCTGATATCCAGAAASTCCACATTCCGTTGGCCACCCAGGTCGCCTGACCTTACTGCACCTGACTTTTTCTTGTGGGKTTATTGCAAACAGGAAGTCTACAAAGCAAAACCAACAAATTTGAATGAACTAACGCAATCCATTCAAGAAACAATTGCGGCTATTCCTGTCCCAACTCTCCAAGCAGTAATGAACAACTTTTTGGTAAGATGCCGCACATGCATCAACGAGCAGGGCAAGCATTTAAGTTCCATTGTTTTTAAAACTAATTAAGCTATATTTAATAAAATTTAATAAGCTTTAACATGAATAAAAGAAAAATGAATTCCATACACTGAAAAAAAAAAATTATTTGAGTTTCTTAATGTAGCAAAATTCATCAGACACCCTGTACATACATAAATATGTATGATGAACAGAAACATGACACACAGACATGATCGTTCCTTATACATTTTGCATTGTTCTATGCAATGCTTCAGAAATATTTGTCAGCTATTGTGCACTCATTTCAAATTATGATTCAACCTTTTCTTATTCAGTTACAACTATCATTATAATTCAGATATGTATATGTATGTAAACAAAAACCCATGTATCCTGCCAGTAGCTGTGTGATTCTATTTCGTATTTTTGCAGAAAAAAATGTTCTAATGATTCCTACATGAATATTGAACACATGCTTATGTTTTGAAATATACTTTTTTCATTTAAGAATACTTGTGACTTTTAACATAAAACGATAGCAGGTAGCCTATGCCCATTCTAAGGTTCCAAGCTATCTCATCACCAATTTTCAACCAGATCGGTTCAGCCGTTCATGAGCTATAAACATAGACAAAAATTGTGAAATCGAAGGTGGTTTTACAAAAAAGGCCGCCGTTAGGACCTTCCCTAGGACTAAAGGAATACCCGTGAAAATTTTCACGTCGTTCCGTGTTGTGGTTCAGGCGTTTCATTTTTAAATATAAGAATAACTGAGTAGAAAAGCGAAATTAAGAGAAAATTAACTCACAACAAAATTGAGAGCCAAGCAACAAGACGTGGCTCCTTTTCTAAATATCAGCTTACTCAACTCAGAAACTATTGTGGGTCTTTGTGGCATTTCGCAAACTGTAGAAGGCTAAAAACGGCGTGTTGCTGTCAATTGAATTACAGGTGGAATCGTCGAGGGCTGCATACGTTGTTCTATGATATTTAAAACCATAAGAACACATAAATAAAGTACCCCGCCAACCCATTAGAAAC